CCCCCCCCTTCCTCTCTGAGGGCTCTCCCACGGGTCAACGGTATGTTTCCAGGTGATCCGATCCTGCTGTCAGCCTTCTGCATGTGTTCTGGAAGCTTGTGCGTCTTGGAAAGGAGGCACTAGGTGTTTGGTAACAGTGCTTTGCCAGATGAGTAAGGCAAGAAATGTCTCGAACTCATTCTTAAAGTTATTTGTGCATAGTGAGAGGGGACATCTGACCTACATATTACAATTATGGCATTCATAGTCTGTGAACTGATTCCCTTACTAGCATGAGAGTTGCACACACTTTAGCCAATATAAATGGCGTATTTAATTTGGCGTGAAGTAGCGGTTGACTGATATGTACTGATTAATATGTAAATAATTCAAATTAGACAATTACGGCAGCATATATTGTACAGCTGTATATATATATTTATTAGTGCTGGGCAACGATTAAAAATTTTAATCGTGATTAATCGCACTATGCACAACATTCTATATGAACAAAAGTGCAATAACATTTGGTTTGCAAACACTTTAAACAAATAAGGTGCTTTTTTACAGCAGTATTCATTTTACATAGTAGCAGTTAAAATATTTATTGTAAATCTCAACTTATAACAATGTAATCAAATTAAATATAAAATCAAAGCTATTTGCCACTGCCAGGGCATTAACGTTTTTATAGGCAAGGCAAGGCAAGGCAAGTTTATTTATATAGCACATCTCATACTAGACTTGTGCTTGCAACATGAAAATTTGATACCGGCATATCCCTATTTCATACACAATGGTAATTCAAAGTGCTTTACATAAAAGGAAGTAAAATAATCATAAAAAAATCACAACAATAAAACAGGGAACTTTAAAAACTTTTAAAATGATTTAGAAATTAATTTAAAATGAATCGGGCGCGGCACGCATGTAGTGTCGGAGCATTAAACTTCTGATACGTGCAGCATGATTGCGTGAACATTTCTGAGCGGCAAAAGTGATCGATCTGTAAAGCAATATATTGTGAGAGGGCCGTATGTTACCGCGTCCCAGACGACTCAAAATAATAAACCACAAAGTTAACAAAATGATGCACTCCACTGGGCTGAACGAGAGCACTTCTCTGCTGTCTTCACGTGCGGAAACTTCCTATTTCCCACTTATGAAGTCGTGAGCACTTCATGTGGACGCTGCTGCAGTCTTAAGCTGCGTTCACACTAGCAGCAACTTTGTCGACTGCATGTCGCCAGGGGCTGGCGATGAGGTTGCTAGTGGGCGTTCTCACTACTGGTTGCCTTTACAGCGAATCAGGTTTCTTGCCGCTAAATACAAACATTTTGGAGTGGGATCCCAAATGAATGGGATCGTGTCGCTTTGTCGCTTGTAGTGTGAACGGGGCTTTAGGCCCACCCCAAATGCTCTCATTTGTTAAGACGCGTGATGACACCCATCCCAAGCCAGTACTGATCAACATTCCACCCCTCCTGTGACCCATGGTTTGTCTGCATGTGTATTCAGAGCCAGTGAGCAATGGACTTTCATAATATAAAAAAACTGCGTTAATGCACGATAAAATAATTGATAAATAAACACACACTCCCCTTCAAAAGTATTTGAAGCGTATCCCCTGGGGCATTTAACATTCTTCTGCGTACCTCCTCTCTTCCACTATGACCGCAGTCACACCTTTTCTATTAAAGGACAATATTTGCCCCCTTAAATTGATTTACAGGTGCATTTTTTACCTTTATAGAGGCAAATATTTTCTATTCTTATTAATTGTATGTCATGTTTTATGTCATATTCTTAACATTCCATTAAGTGTATAATTAACATAATAAAGCAATAAATGATGGCAAATCGAAGTGATACTTGTAGATTTAAAAATAAAACCGCCAATAGGTGGCGTCAAGTCGCATTCATTCATTCATTAACGAATCAAAATGCTGTAGTTATGAATGGGTTATTAATAATCACTGACTCTCCAAATTGTTCAAAGCCGCAGATTCGTTCACTAATGAAACACCGCTGTATGTTGCTTTGAGACGCACACCAGATGTTACGGATTTCGTTGAAACTATTATTTCGTTGCAAAATAGAACAAACATGACAATATTCTGTTTAAAATGTAGGCTACATTTAAAATGTAAAATGTTCACTTAATATTACCTTTTTTTGTTGAACTGTTGTAAAAATTAATGGCACATTTGCCATCGTTTGGATATTCAGGGACATTTGCATTCTTGCTCGTATCTTAAACATGAAAACAATAACAATCACAGAGTGTGTCTGTATCGAAGAGAGTTTAAATTGATCTCAGTCCGTGTCAATATTTGCTCTTTATGCTATTAAGTGAAGGTCTACTTTAAAGATACATTGAACAGCAGCGCGATTTGCTAAAGCAGCATATTAGGCGGGCATCCTATCACATGCACACTGCTTGTGTGGCTGCAATAAGTTTTGACCGCAAAAGATGAGGTAAGCTGATTGGATATCATGCATTTTACCGTTTACGGCACTCCCATTTTCTGGTTTTTACATTAGAAGCAGCATTTTGCTTGTCGGAAATGCATATGATGGGGTTTAATGTTACATTTTAATGAAAACATGTTCGGTTTTAATGTTACTTTAAGTTGGGGTAGAATTAAATGAATGCCAAAACTCAGAATTTTGTTCGCGTACCCCCCTCCGTCATCTCATGTACCCCCAGGGGTTACCCCAGTTTGAGAACCACTGCTATAGAGTATGCATTTTACCTGCTAAAGAAGAGACCGAAGGGAGTAACCCCCCAAAACTGAAAGAGGCTGCGGTGAAAGCCTGGAAAAGTATGGGATTACATCTCTGCCACAATTTTGCGTGAACTGAATGCCCATGAGAAATATTCAAAACTAATACAATACCTGCTTAATAATTATGCACACCTGAATGTAAGGCGTTTTTCACTTCCAGCCGTCATAAACAATAATATATAGATTATAAGTGATTAAATACAAGAATAATAGTAGTTATTAAGATTGATGTTGTTTGGAATTGGTAAAATGTGCTTGGAAAAAAATATAATCAGAATATCAGCTTTCATAATAATTATGCATGCACTGTATTTTTCCTCTTCTGCTGTCGTGGTAATGTAAGAAATGTTGTGAATGGTTGTCAAGGCAGCCAATCAGAATTAAGCAGCCTCGTCTCTGATTGGCTGGAATTATGGCATATTGTAACGCTGGGTTGTGTTGAGTAAGCGAGCCGTTGGCATTGAGAGAGCACTGAGGGCGGGCATCAATGGAGCAAGCTAGTGAAACGTTGCATGCGCAAAAGAGAAGGTCTGCACACATCCAAAAACTTATATATATATATTCTAATTGAAATGTTATTTATTCCTGTGATGAATTTTCAGCAGCCATTACTCTAGTTACATGATTGTTCAGAAATCTAATATGTTGATTTGCTGCTCAAATTTGAATTACATGTTGTTCTGTCCATCACAACCTTATTTTCATTTGTGTTCTCGTCTGGAGAAAAATGGCATCTACTCAGACTAAGGTCCATTAGAAAGTTTATTCTGTTTGACAACATCTTGTTTAAGTTTTAAGCTGCACACATCCAAAAACTTATTTTAAATGCAAAATTGATTTTCGTGCACTCGGAATACTTTTTTCTTTGCTAAACGAACATTTTCTCCACAAAACTAAGATCGCGCGCGTGTAAAATGCACTTTTGTGCGCTCAAAATATGATCTTTCGTGTGCAGAATTGTGGCAGAGATCTAAGCCTATAGAAAAGCATCACAAAAGAAGAATGCAAAAGTTTGGTGATGTCAGTGGGTCACAGGCTTGATGCAGTTATTGCAAGCAAAGGATTTCAAAAAAAAAAAAAAAAAAAAAGAGACCGAAGGGAGTAACCCCCCACAAAACTGAAAGAAGCTGCGGTGAAAGCCTGGAAAAGCATCACAAAAGAAGAATGCAAAAGTTTGGTGATGTCAATGGGTCACAGGCTTGATGCAGTCATTGCAAGCAAAGGATTTGCAACTAAATATGAAGTCTTATTCCCTTTAATCTAGTTTAAGTCAATCTGTTCCAATACTTTTGGTCACATGAGCAATGGGTGGGTTCAAACAAAAGGTGCAATCTTCTAAGTTGTGTATCAGATCCAGATGAAATATTTGTCCCATAATTGTCTCATATTCATCTTTTGATGTCAAACCCAAATGTTTTCAGTCTACAGCAAAAATAAAGGAATTGGCCTCACTGTTCCAATACTTTTGGAGGGGAGTGTATATATATATATATATATATATATATATGTGTGTGTGTGTGTGTGTGTGTGTGTGTATGTT